CTTTGTGATGAGCAGCAGACTCCACGACTCAAAGAGAGCTTGTGCCTAGGCTGTGACATGCTGTGACACATGTACAATCCTGATCTATCATGTTAAGATTCTGTAATCTTGTAAGCGTCTGTTGCGGCTGCCGCCCAAGGAAGCATTTGAGCCCAGAGATGTGCCAGTGTCTTTACAGAAGCCTACCTCATGCAGCGCGTGAGTCATTCATCAACATAGCTTTGATGGAATATGCGGCCATCATGCAGTACACCCTCAGCGGTGAAGACCGAGCATGGTTGTCCTTGAGCCGAGAATGCAAGATGCAGTGGTTGCCAAAGGATTTCAGTTGCCTTCTCAATGCGCCTGCCAACTGGCAGCAGCTGTTGAATGAGTTCGGCTGGCGTGACAAGACTGATCCTGCATCTGCCGTATGTCTCAGCTTGGATGACCTAGATCCCAGTGTAGCAGATATCTTGAGGGATTGCTGTCGTACTTTCCAGCAAGAGGAGTGGGTGCAGGAGGTTGCGCGCCATCACCAGCTTCAGGTAGGGCGCATGGAAGTTCGCACAGGTCTGCCAGCAGAGGCCACAAGGCTGAAGAGGGAAGTTGATTGTCCAGATTCATGTAGCAAAGGTTTGCCAGCCAAGGCCGTAAAGAAGGAACCCTGTGATGCTCATGATGCTCAGACCTTCCCTTCAGGACGTGAAATATCCAAGCGCCTTCTAAGCAACTTGCCTTACCGCCCCCTAGATGCCAGCATGTTGGACCTTGGCCAAGTCTTGCGAGGTTGTCTTGCCGTTGCCAGGAACTTTCATGGTAATCGCTGGCCTGAACACATCACCCTCCTGTCTTGCGGTGATCTGGCATCTAGGCATGGACAGAATGCACACATGATATGCGGACTGCTATGTTCTGACACGCACTGGGCGCTTCTTTGCATCAGCGAAGGGCAGGGGATTGTGTATGATGGCCTTGGAGACACAGTTTGCTTTAATCAAGCCAGTGCATACATGGCGCACCTACGGGAGTCGGGGCATGCGGTCAAAGAGAAGCTGCTCAAAGCGCAGTGCCCTAAGCAAGGAGACGCCTGGTCGTGCGGGCATCGAGTGATTGTTGCTCTGGGCGCTATCCTGGATCATGTGGAATCTGCAGGGGACATTCCCCGCCAGCTTGATGAGAGTGTGCTTTCTTCTGCACATGTGCAAGCCCTGGTCAGGAGTAGCCAGGATTCCTCATTCCCGAACCCGTGTCAGCAGCAGGGCCCTCCCAAGCATGTCAAGCGCAAGGTTGAGTGTGTGCAGAGTTCCGTGTCAAATGCCGCCCCTGGTGCAGATGTTGCAAGCGAACCTTCCACTCCGAAAAGAAGCCGCCCCAGGGTGGATGACAAAGCCATGACTCCCCCCAGGCCAAGTCCTCCTGCGCGTACATCAGGCTTTGATGGCTTGAAGTTGTCTCCTGTTTCCAACACAAGCTCTCCGCGTCAGATAGTGTCCAAGGCCAGCAAACCGGTGCGAAGCAAGTCAATCAAGGGAAACACCCAGAAAGCGTCAAAGCAGAGCACGCAGAGCGAGGCATCTTTAGTGAAGCGGGGAGAGAGCCTCTGCCAATCTGCAGGCGTGCAGCACAAAACCTTCCAGTCGGAGCACTATCATGCATCTCAACCTGAGCCGCGAGGTCACTGGAAGATGTTCTTGCGCGCACTGGCCGTGCCTGATGACAAAGATAAGATCCTCACTTGCCCTGTGTGCTGTAGCCTTCGCAACAAAATCCTGAACCTGGCAGTCCCATCAGCCCCTGAACCCAGCAATGTCAAAGCAGAACCATCTGAGGATGTCAGCCTTGCCCTTGTTGCAGTGCAGCCGCCAGGTGAAGCATCACGTCCAGTGCTAGGCCCGCAGATCCACAAGCGAGGCAGACCAGCCAAAGGCGAGAGCATGGACTCACGCTGGCGCCTGGGGGTCTTCATCCAACAGCACAGAGCATCAGTCTACCGTCAGTTAAAGGATAGTTGGGGCAAGGATGCTACGTATCATTGTATCCCGTGCGGACGGGACATAAAGTTCAAGACCCACACCTGCAAACGTAAGCTTGACAAGCATGAGAAAGGCATCACCCACATAAAGGGTTTGGAGAAGTTGGGGTTGCCGCTGCCCGAGGGTGTTGCAAGATCCACAAGGCCAGGGAGTGAGGATGACGCCGAGGAGGACGAAGAGGAGGCGGAGGANNATCCTGTCGTTGCCGTAGACCTGCGCTGTAATGGTTTACCCCCGCATGACATCACATCCCCTCTGCATTGCCTGAAGTGTTCCATCGAAAGCTTTGTTCTGGCTGGACAGCCCAGGACGACGTATGCGCCAGGAGAAACGGATCCATTTGCTGATGTTATCTTCGACACCACCCCGCAGGGCATCTATGTCAAGTCCAGGCAGTGTCAAGGTTCCATGCAGAGGGATGAGACTTTCTGCGTGGCATGCAAAGCCTTGGGCCGTTGGAGCAAGTTCCGCTCAGCAGTTGCACAGAAAGCCTACATGATAGACCTTGCCATGTATAGCCACAAGCTTTTCCACTGTCCCCAAGATCAGTTGGAAGCCTTCATGCAGGACATGGTTGGCCGTGAGTACAGGCAGTTGGGGTTGGCTGGAGCTGATTTCGAAGGTTTGTGTCAATTGCCAAGCAAGCTTGCCCAGGTTGCCAAGGTGAGACAGAAATTCGAGAACACACCTGCTTGGAGGATCAGCGTATCCTATCAAAACTTCATGCGTCAGTGGCTGCCGAAGACAGATCTCTGTCATGCCTCCGACACGCAAGCTTCTGCGCACGCCAGCTTGGTTGCTGCCTTAGGCCAGGGTGTGCTTGAAGGCAAGGTACGGGCCCTAGACTTGGAGGTTGCTAGCCGCATCGCTGCAGGCGCCTTAAGAAGCGATGCTTTAGTCGATGGACTGGTCACCACATTTGTTCAAACGCTGCAATCCTCCTTGACCAACAAAAGGCGTCAGACTTCTTCGCAGTTCATGCAGCAGGAGGCGTTGGTGGATGCCATCCACACACTTGGTCGCGGCTCAGAGTGTCAAGCACTCATGTCAAGGTTCAAGGTCAACAAGCAAGCGTTACCTAAACTCAGCTTGAATCATGCCAGCATGCCTGACTCCTTTGTTTCTCTACGAGACCCCCAGGTCCTGAAGAGCACGTTTCAGAAAATTCAAAGCTTCTTGAAGTCCGCTTCAGAACGTCTCCATGTGATCTTCGATGAAACCACCTGGAGTCCAAGTTTCCAGCAGGCCCGTCAATTCAGAAATGGCCAGGACGTGATCATTGGAGGCGCCTGGAATGCTGAAGGGGGGGAAGACTGGTCTTGCCTGAGCCCAGAGACACATAACCTGAGCACCTTGCCCAAAGAGCACATGGCACGCACATCCTGCCACTTCGTGGTGCATCGCACGGATTGCACCAGGTTTGTCTTCGAGTGCTGCTGCCTGCCCACGCGCAGCGTCATTGCTTCCTCTCAGGTCATGTTGGAATTGCTGGGCCGCTTTCTGAGCACTGTGACTGAGGCCAACGGTGGCAAATGCCCGTTCTCTTGCGCGTTCGATGGGTGCACTGCCCACAGCAAAATCCTCCGCTTGTTTACTGGATTGCTTCCTGAGAAAGAGTGGAAGGACCTTGCCTTCTTCCAGGAATGTCAGCTGGAGTTTCCGGAGTACAAGTTTTGGCCCTATGGGCACCTCCGCTTTCGCGATCAGCTAATGGTAGCTTTCACCGGAAGCTTTCATCTCCAAAAACGGTTGTCGTTGCAGTTTATGGCCGGTGGCCGCAAAGTCAGGTTGGCAGATTTCTTCGTAGACCTTGCATCAGAACTCCAGGCGGGGTTGCCGGCACGCGCCTTTACCTGCGCGGACGTACAGTCGGACCGGGATGCAGTGATGAGACTGTCCCCCCCGTTCTTGTCCAAGTCTTGGTCGGGCATCGGCCAAACCATCCACGGCCTCATCGCGGCGCTGCTTGCGTCCGGAACCTCTGCATCCTTAGGATTCACAAAGGTGCAGCAGGCATCAAACGGCTTTTCCGCCTTCTACTTATTGCTCTTGCATGTGGCCTACAACTTTACCAAGCGACGCCCCACTGCAGAGACTTTGCACATCACAACCCTCAGGAATGCTTGCGCGTTGGTCAGCGGCATCATCTCAGCATCCATGACTTCCGCCGAACATAGATACTTGCAAGAACGGGCTGTGGAGGAGCACTTCTCGCGGATAAAGGCTCCATTCCAAGGGCAGCCTTCGGTGCGAGACGGGCAACATGGCCTGCTGCGAAATCAGATCAGACAGTGCAAGCTGCTTGAGAAAGAAACCTGCGAGTCCCTCGGTGCTGCGCAGACTGTTCAGAGTAGAGAGCCCCTGTCAGTGAGCCAGTTGCAAAAGATATCTGCCCCGGTCCTTGGCCTCATCCATACAGTACTTCTGTATGCTTTGTGAGGATGAGACCCCGGATGAGCTTTTTGCGAAGTTGAAGAAATGGTGGGGCCAGAAGGGCGAGACCTTCTTTCGTGCTGCGGTGCCAGAAGAAGATGAGGATTGTGTTGAGCAAGAGGTCCTCGATGCAGACCTAGACCATCAGGCGAAAGCTGAGGCCCAGAATCTCGCTCTGATTGAGGCTGTGCAGGATAGGGCCAAGATTTCAGAGGAACTGCAAGAGTTGCTGACAGGAGGCGGTGAGTCCAGTATGTTGCATGATACCATCACGGCGGAGTTCGCGTCAGAGGACAACCCTCCAAATGCACATGAAATCCTGCCCCCTGAAGTTGACAGTGGAAATGACGACGACATCCCAAAAACGCTGGAGCAGATTGTCGGCAAGACCGTGAGAAAGAAGGAGTACCATGCCCATGCCATTGGTGAGGAGCGTAAGCCAGGCACTTCTCTCGAGTACTCAGCATTGAAGCGAGGCCGGCTCCTCATGATGCCTTCTCGTGAGTTCATCCGATTGGTCAGACTTGAAGAAAAGCTTCTGTCAAAAGCAGTGTTGGAGGCGCGTGCTGCTCCAATGAACATGTGGAATGTGCGGGAGGCTGAGCTAGCTGCCGCCAGGCGCGCGGCCAACGTCAGTGGTCAGCGCCTAGCTCGCTCCACTGCTTGGGCAGCGGCCACCCAGAAATTTGCCTCAGTCATCACCGCATCGCGCAGTGACGGTGCCCCTGGATTGTCCAGCATCACGGAATTCAGGCCTCTTGATGATGCAAATCCTCAGGTCATTGTGTTCTCTCGGGATGGGAAGGACGAGGAGCCGGGCATAGCTATCACACTGACCGTATTCCGAGGTGCACTGACCAAGCAAGGCGGCAAGCTCGTTGTGCGGACCAGCAAAGCGTCCCCTTGCCCGCTGCCAATCGCATCTACGCGCAAGGTGCACGCCGTGGTGCTGAAACAACAAGCCAATGAGACTACATGGTCGGCCTCATGTGTGTCTCCAGTGCTGCTGCTGGATCCTGTCAACAGCATTTTTGGTCAGATTGCTGCTGAGTGCAAGACGACGCAGACAAGGATTCATGTGTTGCCGACACAGGCTAGCTTGGATGACATTGCTCGCATTGCTAAAGCCAATCTTCCACATGTTGGCTTGGACGCTCCTGGCGCTGCAGATCCTGCAGGTCCAAACGAAGTGGCCGCGGCAACCGAGTTGACCTTCACAGAGCGCAGCTTTGCTCGGGCTACCCTGCAAACGGAGTGTGAGAGATTCATGTGTGGGCTTCGTGAGATGTATGATGCTAAATCCATGGGCTTCGTGAAGAATGATTTCGTCGTCCTGCCGGGCCACAAAAAGGAGAAATGGGGTGAGCTGGTCACAAGGGTCCCATTCTTTTTCTTGGAGCGCATGAAGCAGCTGAAGGGGCACGCCTTCTCGAAGGCAGTGCATCTCCGCTTGAGGGAGTTGCTTCCAACAAAGGGCAGCCGGGCTTGCAGTTCCATCATGTCAAGTCATGCCAGTCATGTTCAACACCTTCAGTCATGCAACGTACGTTCCATGGTATCTGAGGTGAGGCATCCAAGCAGATGCTGATGAATTTCCTGAAAGACGTATGTGCGGCCACTGCGCCTGTAGTAACGATGAAGAAGAGCGTGGCTGCCAAGTAGGTCCAAGCAGGCATCATGCTCATCGACCATCATCATCATCATCATCATCAATCATCATATTTCATCATATTTCATCATCCTATCGCATACCTGGAATGCCTGAACATATCTGAACATTCTGAACACAGAATTCCAAAATAATCCAAAGCCACGCTCGATCGCGTCCGCAAGCAGTGCCAGTTGTTTAGTCAAGGATTGCAGCCGGGAGGGGACCCGTCCGCTGGATGGAAAAGACTCTGTTGCATGCCCTTCTTTTGCACACCTGCAGCTTTGCAAGATTTTTTGCAAGGGAACTTGAGAGAGAATATGAGAGAATGATAGTGGGATGAGCAATAGCCAAGGCCAGGGATGATCGCCCAAGAGGGTGGTTGACCACCCCCCA